GTATACATTCAATCACCTCCAACGATACTTAGTGAAGTCGAATGCATGGCGCATCCCTCATGGATTGATCAACGCCGAGAGTTTCATCCTTTATTTTATTTTGGTAGCTGACAAACTGCATACTTACAAATGGCTCAGTAACGATTTGATACGTGCCGAAATGATTATCTACCGCGTTTTTTTGCTAAACAATTTCACAATTCAGAAGTTTTTGTAGAGCTCATACAACGTGAAGCGTGGCCGGTCTGCGATGGATGGCTTTGTCTGGCGTTGCTCGGCGTCTCAACAGCACTTTGTTCATTGGCAATGGATTTCACCACAGAGCTACTTCAAAGATGTGAGTAAGACGCTTTTTTTGAAATCGTGATACTTGCTCTTCTTTCTACTTCTGTTCACGAGGTGTTACTTAATTTCTTTATTTACGTACAAGCTGACGTTTCGGCGGATTTCGCCTTCTTCAGAGCCTGGAAAGGTTAGGTTGACTACAATCTACACAGCCAAACACCTCCATAACCAAACAGAGAAAATACTGAATCGAAATTTCAACCACATTAAACACAGATTCTTTGGTCTTTGCACACTCACCGCTTTCTATGAGTCTTCCACTAAATATATCACGTGGAGACCAACCGCACAGAGTTCACACGGAATCGTATTGCGCCCATCTCATCAAAATAGCAGGCTTATATACTGCCCAATAACACGCGTGATATTGAGGCGTCCCTCCCTGCGGTTAATTTTCGGATTCTTGGAATTTATCCAGAACGCCTCTAGAGTTTTGCGCGCTTGTGTTCTCGATTCCTGCGCTAGGATCGTAACCCCCACTTCAAAATCATCTCCGTTATGTTTCTGCGTCCTATGCGTGCCTAGTGGAGTATTTGGTTTACGTTTGCTGACTAGGTGTTCTTTTATACGTACGAAGAGTGGTCTACCCGTTTCGCCAACGTATTCGTCCTCACAAGCTTTACAAGATATCGGAGAGACTGTACCCGAACTCATGCAGTCATCGTCTCCCCATGGGTGCAAATTATGCAATTATGCGTTGCACATAGACAGTCGTATAGGCGGTTACGAACTAGCTGGCGTCTTAGATTACTCGATGGTATTTCGATTATCGTTACCGAATTCTCTAGGCTGACCCTTCTTAAACAGCGTTTTATAGCTGTACTTACATCATTTGAGATAAAGGGTAGGATAAACGGGACCCTTCTATCGCTAGAGTTGTCGTTGGGGTACCTGTGGTTTCCTCTACACCTATCTCGAGCTACAGTTTCGCAGCCATTAAAAATGGCTATTTTAATTGGCTATTGGCTATTCGTCAGCCGAAACGTCAGTTTGTACGTAAATAAAGAAATTAAGTAACACCTCATGTTGGCTGAACAGAAGTAGAAAGAATTATTCAATCAATGCCGAGGTTAATAGAAAGTCGGGCTTGGGAGTTACTTCCTCTTCTTTTTGACCGACGACAATTCTTCCATCCTACCAGCGATGTGGGTGCTTTGTTAGGGAGACTTGTGGCGTAGACATTCTTAAGTACTTATTTAGTTAGGTAGTAGAATGGCTCATCTTTATGAAATGAACGGGTTCTGACACTGTTCTCACTATACTAGAAAGTACTTGAATGGTCTGATTTTTCTTTTCTTCTAAGTTCTGAAATAGCCACCTTGGCGCCTTCCTAAACCCTTACCGCAGTGGGTCACCAGCGCATAGGAATCAGAAAAAGGCTTGTTTCATTAGGACTGGGTTTCCTTTAGGACAATGAAAACCTCCAGAATTGGAAATTCTGCGTGGAAATGTCAAGCCGTTATCGTATTTGCTTTATCGTATCGTGGCTTGGGTCCCTACTGTACATCTCAGTTCAACACACAGCAACACACTGTCGCCACCGCAACGCGATAAGCCACTTCGGGTGAAATTTAGTTTAATCCACATGTTCACACCAAGAATTTCATGTGGGATAGCAACGATAAAACTTGGTTATCATCAATGAAACCTTTCTAATTAACAACACATTGACTTAAACATAATAAGTAAGCGAACGTTTTAACAAAGCAGATATTAGATATTCCTTGAGAATTGCTCCCACTGTCTTGAGCAAGCTCTTCTGTGCAATTGCCAATGTAATAAAAACACCCGCGTAAAAATGAACGACTGTTTCCCAATCCTTTTTTCATCACGCCAATTTTTCATAATTATCGAGTGAAGAAAGTAGCTCGCTTTGGGAAATGGGCGGCACAACACCTGTGTTGGAAGAGCAATCGTTTCATTGCTAGAAGTAGAGGGGTTTTGCTCGTCAAAATAAATCACCGGGAAGAAAATAACCTTTATATGGGTCATGTCAGTTACAATACCTGATAACGAGTAATTCTCACAGTAGTCACATCGTCTCGTAAGTGGTAGCCATTATAATCATGTAATTATGTTTATTACCTGATTACACTACATTGAACGGATTAAAATTACGATTAGTTTGACGGATACTCTCTTAGAAAGGTATGTTAGCAGTGGAAGGGGTAAGGAAAAGGTGCAGTAGAGAAAAGAGACAAAGGATGGAGTTTTAAGTAGAAAAGAACGTCGTCAAAGAAAGTAATCCTTCGGGAGATAATAGAGATGCTGAAACTTGCGATTTAGTGCCACCTGGGAGAGTTTTAGGCGCAAAACAGCAAGCCTATCATCGACGCATGGAAGGCGATGAGTGTTCTATGATCAGTTCCTGGGAACACCTTTACGTGGTTATTTTGGTGCTCTAAAAAAAGCCACCCTTGGCCAGCACCTAACATTCTGTTAGCCCTTTGATGAGATAAGACTGTAGATCCGCAGTCTTAAAGTGAACTCTAGCATGAGCTGTTGACAGATTACGATGGCACCGAAATAGGTTATAGGGCTGTTATACAGGTATGCAAAACGTGTAAAGCTGGAACGCTTGTAAGCAAGTATGGGAGTAGAAACTTCATTGTAACTGTGCAATGAACCGGTGAGGACCAACACATAGGGACTGTCGGGGACTGATTTCCGCTCGAACAGTGCGTGAACAACGGCCGCTCTTAACTTTAAAGCAATATATCTCTACTTAAAGTCAACTTTACTTGTTGCAATAAAAGTGTTAGGATCTAAAAATCTTTTCCCACGCCAAAAAACTTTTTTCGTTTGCAAATTTTGATTTCCTGGAGCTCACCAAGTATTTTTGCACTCTTTTTTCGTTGAATGTCCTACTTCGAAAACGAAAGCGATCTAACAAGCGAAGTTTGGTCTATCACAACAAGATGGTCTTCTTAGATGGGTTGTTGATGCCTGTAGCTGTCGTGATGTTGTTTCACATCCTAAAGATTTATATTCCTTTTTCATTTCTTTTAAAAATTATAATTCAAAACAATTTGAAAGGAAAAAATAACATTTTAAGGAGATATGCTTGCACATCCCTCAGGGATAGATTAACGCCGAGAGCTTTAGCCTTTTTTTTCTTTTTTATGCTTGTTCTTTGATAAATAGAGCGTAGTATTTTCTATAAGCTGATCATGTTTCCAGCTCAAGTATTCTAGTTTTCAAAAAGTTATAAGCACTTCCCGAGAAGCCAAGTTTTGAGCAGCAAGTGTTAGAAAACATGAATACCACTGCCCATGATGTTATAATCTCGTTATGTTACTCTCTAGATGAAAGCATTGACAGCCAGTGCATAGATGAACCTGTAAGATTGGTGTTTCGTATCTGGAAAGCTCTGAAATTTTCTTTAATTCTCACTATTTCTACGCATAGGCTTCAATGCGAAGAGGTTCAGAAGCCCTTCTGGTACTAACTCTGCTGTTGAGATCTCCAATGATAAAGCTGCAAAAATGTAGGCTAACACTAGCTCTTTCAAGTCTACATAAGTAAAATGTCGTGGTCTATTCCTTACTGCTTCTTGATGTTATTCCATTAGAGATGAAGACAAGAACTTCAACTGTGTCAAGTTCTCTACTGTCGTAGGAAAGGATGAAGAAGTTCTTCTCCAGTATTATAGGCGATGATGCGCAGTCGACAGTGTCTTCTGCTTTCGCTTAATTCAATGATACGGTACACATTGGCTGGTTCAGTATAAAGTATATTTACCGTCTTCTTCATTTCCTCATTTGCTCATAGGAACTTCCTTCTTGTTTAAGCCATGTTAGTAGGATGGAATAGAGTAAAAGTGATCATGTAGAAAGGAAATACCCTCAAGAAGTGTTTGTGGAGTAGGCAGTGATATAAAGATATTAAGAACATGGCATGAAGAAGAGCATTATCAACGAGGTAGAGAATAGTCGCCGTACCGTGCATGATTTTCTTGGCTTCTATCACCACATCTCAATAGAAGCGTTCAGACACACTACAAATACTGACCAGTAGCATAGCTTACAGAAATTTTCGGATTTTCTTATTGTGCTGCGGTGCTAGAAACTGCTGCATAGTTACCCCTTCAATTAGCTTGCCTTAGGCTCCTGGGTGTCGCGATTGTTTAAATATAGAGACCGCTAATAAACCGATTGTGGTTTGAAATCAATACCGATCATTTCTCATATTTTCCATGTTTCATGCTCTATAATACTGGCAATATAAATGCAAAGTATAGAGTTTCTGGGGCTGATCAATCCCAGAGAGATCCGCCAACCCCTCGCTTTCATTCGTAGCAGCGTAGAGGTGATTGAAAGCACATTTGACCTATACAATGACTTGTGAGGCTTATTGGGTACAACGTCAGTGTTTTTATCCGATAAGCGTGGTACCAATTTACTGAACTCGAAGGGCTCGACTGCTCGGTTCCACCGGGGACGAGGGTCGAAGCAGAGTCCGATGGAGTGAGTATTGCTGGGCGTCTGAACCTACCCACATGAAAAAAAGTGATCTAAAACCTATGTAGAGTAAGTGGATATCTTATCACTTTTGCGATAGATGAGACCGGAGGTGAGATTTGTCTGTCAGATACTCAACTGCGCTTGCAAATAACATCAGTTAGCTAAGACTGAGTGTGAACATCACAAATAATGGTACTGAGCTATTTCTTCTAGTCTAACGAAAGGAACTAAAGCAACTATTTTTAAAACGAATTTATCAGGGCACATAGCCACCTACGACTGGGTGGATAAGCTGGAATCTGATCGTCATCGGCTCTACACGTTTATCGTCTGGATCGGCTACGCTGTTGTGCTCATCACTTCATCAGCTGCTCTGGCTCACTATTTTTCACCACAAACCATAGGTGAGTTCCACATAATCAAAGAAGCAGACATTTTAAATAGGAGGCATGAGGAACTTCGGTTCCTTTTTTCTTTTTTGGAGTCGCTAGTCACTTGGAAACTGAATTGTTCTTCCTTAAGAATGACCTTAGCGAATGCAAGCGATAAACGTTTTCATGATTTTAAGAATGAAAGTTTTTCAATATTCAAAGCTTCCTAGCGTTACATCCAAAGTAGTAGTGTTATGAACTCTTGTCCATTTTCGCAGTTTGGTAGAAAAAAAACACCCATGAAAGTCAAAATGAGGAGATTTGGTGAAATTCTAGACTAAGTACAGTCCTAGGTTGTTCAAGATACAAACTCAGGTGGCATAGAACGTAAAAATATCTCAATAACCGACTTTCCTTAAACACCGCTATTACTAATCAAGATCAATTTTTTCGTCGACAAGCTAACTTGAAATAACACTTTATTCGGCTCACGTTTCGGCGCTTTCGCTTTCCTCAGAGCCGACAGAAGGTTCAGACGCTCCGATTGCGGCGGAGACGTCGAAACGCTAGCCGATTAAAGTGTTATATCAACCTCGTGTTAGCTTGTCAATGAACGAGTACAATAGATCTTAGTCGAAAATCATACAATCCCTGTAGGTCTTCAGAAAGTGACACAGCTTTTTTTAAATTTTCACGATTTGTTTGAAGCATTGACGAGGATTCATGTAAGATCGTATTTGATTGAATTTTTCCTGGTTAGAATCATGAGAGTCTTACCACAAACTCTTAAAATCACTAAATCAAGTTCACTAGCGCATAAAATTTTGTTATTAGAAATACGAAGGGCATTCGACAATGGATTGAATGAAGTGGAGATCTCTAGATCTCAGTTGTTTTTTGTCTCCTCACTAAGACCCAATCGATGTCTATTGTGTACGTCACCTCCGTTTAGCATATTACTGAACAGGTTCTGGTATTCCGGAAATGAAGACTATCCTTCGTGGTTTTATGCTGAAGGAGTACTTATCGTTCCGTACGCTTATCTTAAAGATGATCGGATTAACGCTTTCACTTGGAAGTGGTCTACCGCTAGGCAAAGAGGTAAGTGAAGTTTTTAAAGTTTTGGGAGGTTTTTTTTCTCTTCAGGAGAAAATGATGGCCTGCTCGGCTTTCCTTGCATGAGAAGCGGTTTCATCTACAGAATCCTGGGTTTCGTCTTGCAAATCAGTCTTTAATATCATACAAACGTAAAACTATTTTAATAGATTATAGGATTGTACATGAATACTAGTAGTGATTAAGAAAAGATATAACGAGCTCTTCGATTTATGGCGATCGTTCCTTTAGATGGACCATTTTCAGAGCTACTTCGGGTGTCAGCATATTAACTGTTTAACTGATACTTTGCTAGATCAACATGTTTTTTCTTTACTGAAGACATGATATAACTTTTATAATGTTGAGATATTTGCAAAACTCTGGACCGCAGGTGACTGCGGTAGGGAACGAACGCGCTATTATCTTTCCGGGGTGGGAGGGGGGGTAACGCGTTGACCACCACACCATGCGAAAACTACCTGAGAGATAGGCAAAACGAAGGACCCGCATTGTGTGGTGGTGAACGCGCTACTCCCCGGAAAGGATAATAGCTCGTTCTTTCCCCACCGCAGGCACCTGTGGTCCGGAGTTTTGCAAAAATCTCAGCATTGTAGAAGTTATATTTCACAACATACCCTGCCATCCATTAAAAAGAATAGACAGTAAATAAAAGGGTTAAGAAGTGATGATATAGTCAATATCGATAATGAAATTGCCACTTTTGACTAGGTTTCGTCAGGACAACAGCTTTTCTTGGCACAAGCTTGCTCATAACAGGATTTGTGATAAGAATGTCGAACTTTTCGGCTTAGTAAGCTTGGAAAAAGCTCTGCAATTCTTTACTTTTCATCAAAAATCTGCACAAAAGAATGTCCCTTGTCACGTTGATGTGCGTGAGCCCTAAATTGGATATCGATACTACTTAGCACTTCTATGTTTCAATAGCCCAATTCTATAATGAACCGTGCTTGCTCGAATGAAATTCTTATTGGACCGGTCTTTTGCAGATTGGGTTAGGTCTTTCTGTCTTGAGTATCAAAGTAACAATGCCATTTTCACATCTTTGTTATGTAGAACAATGGATGTTATTGCGACCACGTTAATCTTGACTAAGTAATTTTTATCACTAAAGATTTGCTGAGTTTCAGGGCCCTTTCGTGCATGTAGCTTCGGCTCTGGCCAGTCAGTTGTCGCGGTTCATGACCAGCTTCGAAGGAGTCTATGTGAACGAGTCACGTTCTCAAGCGATGCTGGCTGCTGGTTGTGCTGTAGGCGTTGCATGCACGTTCAGTACACCTATTGGCGGTTTGTCCTTTCCCTTCAAGAAAAAACTCAATCCTTCATCTGTTTCTGATTATAGACTGGTTTGGTGACCACCATGGCAGGTTCCATTCGTAATGATTTCAATTATTAGCGACTATTAGATTACAAAACGTTTAACACTTTGAAATGAAATCTTTGTTGTTTTCTAGGGGGAGTTGCTGCAGATGATGAAAGTCAATAACTCGGGCGCTAATTGCTGCTCAACCTTGTTCCATTTTTAAGATTCTTTCCTTTCTAAGTGAGAAGTAAATGCTCCGCTGTTCAAAGAATCTGCGGTCCTATTGAGAGTTATTTGAACCGTCACCACCGAAGCCTCATTTGTCACTTAGACTCGTCGGAGTTGCTCAATAACTCTCAGCTTTTGCTACGACACTTTATTTCTACTGTACTTTACGAGAAGCCAGCCACATGTAGCTCGCCAAGTTCTCCTTGTAGCTGCTAGGTTTTCGAATAAAAATGTCGACCTTTATTTCAACTTCATGAGATCCTACTGGAAAGTTGCAATCCTTTATAGTAAGTCTGTGGTTCAACACTCAAGCGTGGTCCCATTATTGAAGTAGTAGGAAGGAAAAATGATGAGATCGTTATAATTGGTAAGTCTTCTAGATATGAAATATTACTATGATGAGATTATAATGATGCGGCAGGTTTCAATGCTCTGCTTGTAAAGACAGCTGTTCCTTCGATAAGTGGCTTGATTACCAGTCCGGTAATTCAATATATGAACAGTTTATGATTTCATTACGCTAGTGGTAAAAATAAATCCGTGGAAACTAAAATTATTCCCGTTTCTGGCTGATGATATCGAGAATCGCGAATTGTGTCGCATGATGGTTAAATGATAAAAACTGGTAGATTGGGTCGGACTGTTGCTTTGTATTTCAGGTGTTCTGTTCTCTATAGAAGTCACATCCACATATTTTGCTGTGAGAAACTACTGGATGGGTTTTTTCGCTGCACTTTGCGCTGCCAGTACTTTTCGAATCGTTCGATTCGTCCTGAACGCTTCAAGTGGTGAGCAAGCAGTTCGTTTTCCATTACATTCTGTTCCTTTCTTCTAGTGACTTTTTCAGCAATTGTCAACTTTTGTTTACGAAAGTTGTAATCTATGAAAATTTTCAGAGACTGTAGAAGCTTACTATCAAACTCGGTTTCCTGAAGACGCCTTTTACCTCGAAGAGCTGCCGTTATTTGGGCTGATTGGGTTCGTTCTTCTACTATGATATACTTCTCCTGCTCTTTGAACCGTGTTTTTCTAATCGAACTATAAAGATGCTAAGAGATGGGAAAAGTTAGAATGTTCAAGTGACCTTCAAACCCGCGGTTATCCTCGCCGAGGATTCAAGCGCTATCCGCCGTACGAATCGAGGCCACCATTATATCCTTTTCTCAGCCAATTTTTCCTGTTCCCCTTGACACGAGATTGCTGATAGCATCGATAGAGCAAAAAAAAAACTGACTGAGGGAAAGATAAAGAGTTTCGGATTGTGTGGTGGATGGCACGTGAACTGCTGGAAAGAGTAATAGCAGATTCGCAGCACAGATGAGGTTCTTAGTTTTACTCAAATCTCAGCATACTTGCTCTTGTATTTCACATTGAGCCGTGCCATGAAAAAGAATAGGCAGGAAGTAAAAGATAAAACATCACGTTCTGTAGCGTTTTAATTCCCTGAAAGCGGATCAGCTTTGAATTCTATCTATTTTTTAAATCTTTTATTTACTGCCTTTTTCTTCTTAATGGCAGGGTATGTTGCGAAATATAACTCGTATGAAATGCTGAGATATTTGCAAAACTCCGAACCACAGGTGTATGCAATGGAGAACGAACACGCGCTGTTGTCCTAACCGGTGAGCAGCGCACTTCACCACCACACCACCCGGGTCCTTCGTCTTGCCTGTCTCTCAGCTAGTTCTATCAATCCCGTTGACGGGTGATTGCTGATGGCAAAAAGATCGATAGAACCTGAGAGACAGGCAATACGAAGGACCCGGATGGTGTGGTGGTGAAGTGCGCTGCTCCCCGGTAAGGACAACAGCGCGTGTTCGTTCTCCATTGCATACACCTGTGGTCTGGAGTTTTGCAAATATCTCAGCATTTCATACGAGTTCTACCTATTTTTTCCTATACTTGACTTGTTCAATTGTTCCTATGCTTACAATAAAAAAAAGTCATTCGAACCCCGACACTATTTTTTTTTGACTGGTGCTTTTGATGTTTGCCAACATTTTCCTTTTCTGGAGTCTCTAAAGTCATTCCAGAGGTCTCGCAGGTCCCCAACAATGTCTGGTTACTACGTTACTTTCGGCATGATGGTGACCCCTAGCACCGATTAACTCTGAACTGAGCTTTTGAATAAATATATTGAACTTTTCCTTAGAAGATCCTGCTGAAAGACTAATACCCTGTTGAAGATCGCAGTTCGACACTGAGGTACTCTTCAGTCATGATGAGGAAACAAACTTTGAAGTGTGAGAGGCCTCCATGTACAATATTTTAGTGCCCATGAAGTTATTAAGAATTTCTAGTGACTGGTGTGTAATGACGAAATATTTGTATATTCGACCAATATTCGACTGTTATTCGCCATTGTGTTTCAGATTGGTGTGTGGCCTAGCCGGTGCGCTGTTCATTAAAGTTCATAGGTCACTGCTCACTAATTTAAACAGGTCGTCCTTTGTTAAAAAGTTTCTAGAAAAGAAGTAAGCTCTAACAATTCTAATCTACCGGAATATGCCCTATATTTCAAACTATATAGAGCTGTTCAGCTGGTTGTTATATCCGGTACTCGTATCGTTCATGACCTCATCGATCACCTATCCAGAAGGATTTGGTCAGTTTCTGTCAGGACAGGTGCGCTTATTTTCCATCTGTCTGGAGTTTCTACCACTATTCATCTCTCTGATAACGTGTTGGTAACCCGTGTAGTACACTGCTTAGAGTTAAGATACAACGCACACAGTCGTTGGTTCGATCCTGCACTATAGGCTAACCACTAAAATAAGTAATATTAAGTCTTTTAAACAATTTTAAACTGAGATATTTGCGTTTGGCATTTAACGACTTACACTTTGGCTAACTAAGCTGCTATATAGTGGCATTACTTATAATAACAATAACTTAATAATAAACGAGACAAACGAAACGAAGGATCAGCATGGTGTGGTGGTGAATGCGTTAGCCCCCGGAAAGGGTAATAGCGCGTTCGTTCCTCACCGCAGCCACCTGCGGTCTGGAGTTTTGAGGTTATCACAGCATCATTGAAGTTATACGCAGCATACTCTGCCATTAAAAAGAGTAGGCAGTAGATTTATTATTTAATAAATAATAATAACTATAAATAATAATGGAACAATAAAAACAATACTTAATTAAGGCACTACGTTTTGTGACAATATGACAATGTGACAAAGCCTTAAAAAAAGCAATACATGTTTTAACTGCTAATGAAGTATGCACAGAGTGCAATTGATTGGACCGAGGGATTAATCAATACCCATGTTATCTGAATAGGAGTGATATGTTGCGTGGGAATGGACCATATATAATGCACGATGTTAATAGAGTGATGCATAGTGGTGTCGAGTTCTTTCAGCATAAATTTCCACAAACTCTACGCATGTTATTGTCAAACTGCACGTGGTCAGCAAGTACGGAGCAGGGAAATTGCTGTCCTCAGGGATTTCTCGACGAATGGACAGGTGGTGGCAATAACAGCGCTTTAGTCGCTCTCTCACTCTTTAGCATTACTTTTGTGAGTTCTTTTGTTCTTATACGTCTACAGTACTCAAGTTTGGAATTACTTCACTCATGTTCTGAACTGCGTAAAACAAGATTACAACGAAGCGGAAAGGTAGAGAAAAAGAAGTCGCTAAATCATAAACACAGCGTTTTCCAGGAGGTTACATTATATGTAATAGGATTGATTGATTTTTGGAAGTAATCAAAGCTTAGAAGTGACTCGAATCTCTTCGGTTACCACTTTTTGTTGCTTAGCTTGCCATTCTTTATCACTGAGTTTATGGCTACCTAGTAGTTGATGGAAATCGGAAGCAAACGTAGTTTCGCTCACGCGGAATGAACCTAAGCAAGGTCTTAAAGTCTTTTCAAATATTTCTTATGAGGTGCATACTTAAATTTAGTTTGCGCTCTCAATCCTCTCATCGACCCTGCCAATCCCGGCCGGTATATTCATGCCGGTTTTTATAATCGGTGCCTCGTTTGGCCGTTTGGTGGGAGAATTGGTGGCTATACTGTTTCCGAACGGAATCCATTCATATCGTAAACTTGGAGTCTACCCTGGAATCTACGCCGTTGTAGGTAACATATGTTAGAAAGCTAAATAAAATCAATTTATGATTTCGTACACCTCTATTTGGCGTTACAGTAACCTAATCATTGCTGAGCCATACCGTAATCTAATAATCTAGTCGTCATCTTCTAATTCTAAAAATCAGTGAAAGGCATTTCCCAATAATCAATATCTTATCAAAAATGTAAAAATGGCTCCAAATGTTTTGATCTGTCACAGACATTTAGGTAAAAGTGATTTCTAAGCGATTAGTTCAGGTGCGGCTTCATTCTGTGGATCCGTTACCCATACTATTTCTGTGGCGGTCATCGTCTTCGAAGTCACTGGTCAACTAATGCATATCCTACCGGTTATGGTATGCTTTCTTACTTCTGTGACTTACGTCCTTTTATAAAAAAGTAGAACTAAAAACAACTGCGACTGGTCAAGAAGAAATGAAATCATCGCATGTTGTTGCTACTTCACCATAGAAATCAAATATTAGCCAACGTGTGCCGTTTCCGATCTACGGCGGAAACATTTCGAGCCTTCCAAGCAGTGGCAAAACAGTTAGTTTTGTCAACACAATTAAAACAGTGGAAGACTTATAGAAAACGGTGAGTGTGCAAAGACTCTGTGTTCAGTGTGACTGAAATTTTGGCTCAGCGTTTTGTCTGTTTGGTTATGGAGGTGTTTGGCCGTGTAGATTCTAGTCAACCTGATCTTTCTAGGCTCTGAAGAAAGCGAAATCCGCCGAAACGTCAGCTTGTACGTAAATAAAGAAATAAAATAACACCTCGTGTTTGCCAAACAGAAGTAGAAAGAATTATACAATCAATGCCGAGGCTAATAGAAAGTCGGACAATTAAAACGATTAGCAAAAAAACAGCGAAAAATCGAATATCGATTCATTCCAATAACTTACAACCCGAATCGGACGTTTACGATTAAGAAGACGTGGATCAATTCCAGTTTTGACAATCCCTGTCGTTTACGCGCCGACATCAAACTATGACGAAGAAAAAGTGGAAGCGTTCAATATGGACTTGGGGAATTTCTACAGAGAAGACCACACAATCTGCAAAGTCATCGTTGGAGATTTCAATGCCAAGATTGGACCAAGAAGAACGTCTGAAAAACGTCACATCGGGACCCACGGATTAGAATGGAACGAAGAGAGTGAGGGGCTTTCTGAGTTTATCATGGTGACCAAGACCATCCATGGTAACTCGCAATTCCAGTAGCCCCCCACCTTCAACACTGGACGTGAGAATCTTCCAGTGGAAAGTACCATAACGAAATAGACCACATAGTAAATAGAAGGTTCCGTCTAAGCGATGTCGCTGTTGTCCTAAAATTCTACACGGGATCAGACCAAAATCTCCTTTGTGCAAGATTCTATTTCTTCTGAGAAGGGGAAAAAGCCGCTAAATTCCAAAGCCGAAGTCACAGAACCACCGTAAGCTGGGATTTATTCAATTCATTAGTCGGCTGTTGGGAAGATTCTGTTGTCGATAGCATCGGCGAAGAATATGATCGGCTCATTCAACATTTTCACGTTAGTGAGTTCGAAAGCCGCCAACAGACAGCTGTCTCCAGAAACACTCAAGCTGATGTGCCAGAGTGGAATCGCACGAGCTGCAGGCAACCACGAACTAACGTCCGAACTTGCAAAACAGTGCAGAGAGGCGATAAAAGAAGATCTTAAAGAGAGAAGAGCAGCAGTAGTGGCCGAACCTGCAGAGGCTGGGAAAAGCATTCGCAAAGCCCACCGAAGTTTAGCCAAGCCAATTACAAGACCAAAATGATTGCTCTCTGGCGCCCAGACGGAACAGTTACAGTGTCCAGAAAGGCAATGGTGAAAACCATTCACGAATACTATTCAGATCTCTTCGATAGCCACGTCCACCTTCTGTTATATGAAATAAAGAAGGATGGATATGTTGTACCACCGGTTCTCCCTTCCAAACATGCCATTTTGTCGGTGAAAAATCGACAGCACTAGGTCCGGAAAGGATAAAACTAGAACACCTGAAGAACCTTCCGCCAGTCCTCGTAAACACACTGGCTTGGCTCTCCACACGTTACCTGTCTGAATGCAAGGTCCCTACTCAACGGAAGACCAGTAGGACCGTGCTATTGTTCAAGAAGGCTGACCTTTACGATATCTGCAGCTATCTCCCAATCTGCTTGCTGTCTCTCGTCTACAAACTTTTCGCTCCAGTCATCCTAAACAGGATTGACAGAACACTAGACGAATGATAGGCATGTGAGCAAGCAGGGTTTCGATTAGGATTTAGCACGATATACCACATCCACACGATAACACGGCTCATTGAAATATCACGAGAGTACAAAAGACCCGCTCTGTCTCACTTTCTTCTATTTACAGAAGGCCTTTGATTCAGTTGAGATAGAAATAGTCATGGAAGCCCTTGATAGTCAAGGAGTCCCTACTCAGTACATAAGGATCCTTCGTGAGCTGTCCAAAAATTTTACAGCCACTATATCACCATTCTACAACGATATTAACATCGACGCCAAAAGAGTGGTTAGGCAAGGCGACACCATCTCGCCAAAATTATTTACCGCCATCCTCAAGAACGTCATGCGAACATTCGAGTGGGACAATATGGGAGTGAAAATCGACGGTCGGCAGTTACACCATCTTCGTTTCGCTGATGATATTGTCCTTATAACACCAAACATTACCCAAGCGGAACGTATGCTTGACGACTTTGATAAAATCTGTGGAAAGATTAGTCTTCGACTAAATCTCACAAAAACCATTTTCATGAGAAACGGATTGGTTGTGCATAACCTCTTCTCGTTCAGTGGAACGATTATCTCCGAATGCTCCAGTTACGTCTATTTATGTCAGGAAGACAATATGATGAGCGACATAGTTTCAGAGCTGAGCAGAAGGAAACGAGCGGCCTGGGGAGCTTTGAAGAGTATCGAGGGTGTAGTGAAGAGAACAAAGAATACCCGACTCCGTGCCCACCTTTTCTACTCAACGGTTCTTCCTGCTCTAACGCATGCGTCAGAAACCTGGTCGCTGCGTAAGCAGGATGAAAGTCACTCAGTATTTTCGAACGCGCAGTCGAAAGGACGATGCTAGCAGTATCCCGTCTCACCTAAGTAAGGGATTGGAATTTGAAGCTCCGACTTGCGTCAACGATCGCAAATCAAAGATGCCGTTCTGGACGCCGAACAGTCGAAGATAAGGTGGGCCGGATACGTAATGCGTGTGAATGACAACCGATGGACAAGAGCCGTTGGTCACTGGATTCCTCGGGATGTCAAACGTACTGCGGGAAGACCACCGACCCGATGGTCAGAGTTCTTCACAATGAGCCTACAAGAAAGGTATGACGCTCGGCGAATCTCTAGACCGAGCAGAACCCACTGGGCTACTCTTGCACGCAACAGGGAAAAATGAAAGGTTTACTAGCGCCTGCTCGAATTACTCGACGATCAACGGGACTTCAGGTGATACAGCAAAAAAACAAAAAAACGACTACTTCATTAATGAATTTCGGGTGATGAAGTATAAATTTGCAGCTTTTGAGCTGTGTGAAAAAATTATGTTGGAATAGTTGACATGACCTAGAATTAGCGCTATCGTCAACGAAGGTTGTGGATACGATTTTAGCTAATGACACGTATCAGTCGGCGGTGACAACTTGTGAACTTGCTATGGGTTGAGGAAAAAAGTATTGTCTAATAGGCAAAAAGTGACAAAAAACTTTCTAAATGAGCTCTACATGGAAGTCTTCATTGAAGATGCTTTCGTTCAGATTCTTTTCTTTGATTTAACTGGAGAGATAATATGATTCGATTTCAGATAGCAGTTTTTGTTGGTAATATAGTTTGCGCGTACTTTCAACCATCCATCTATGAAAGTATTATCATCATCAAGAAGTTACCGTATATTCGGGAAATGTCAACTTGTCTCGACGTGTAAGCTCGTCTACTCTTCGTTTCCATGCTTTCGCATTATTTAGATAGCTCGCACGTTGCTGAAAAATTAAACATCAAGTGCTGATTGATATCCTAAGGGTGCAGTACGCATTCGACCCCATTCGTAGCGATGTTGAGGTGATCGAATGCATATTTCATATATGAAATGACTTTCGCGGTTCTATCGACATATCAACTAACTGGCTACCCTTCTCCTCGCAAGCGACTCTGGCACCAATTTGCCTGCCCCGGAGAAACTGGGGCCTTGATCAGCCTGGGCACTGGGTTTAACCAAAGACCTCGTTTGCATTGCTGGGCACCTCTTACCATGTGCACGTACACCATGACAAGTTTCCATCTTTTCAAATCATCTGTGCAATTTTTATATCGTAACATTCAAATCCTCAAAAACTGAACCGCACTTCTGTTGAGAGTGACGTCGATGTTGATTTCGTTCATCAAAGATTTTCAGGTTAAACGCAACAACCGCTGAACAAATTATGGTATCTGATGTGAAGTTTATTTGGAAAGGAATCACCTACAGCGAATTGAAGAAGCTCATGGACGACAATCGTGAAATACGATCATTTCCAATTGTTCTTGATAAGGGTCAGACAGAATTTTGTATTCTATTCCAATGTAAAAGGTGCAACATCCCCTACAATCTTACCTCTACAATTTTTTTTGTTTTTCCATCTGCAATCCAAAGCGAAATAATAGTCGCAAGACTGTTTGTTAAGCTGAAAACGTTAAATAATCCATGCGCCATCAAAACCAATACTCTGAGTTGCAAACGGTTCAACCATTCCAGTGTCTTTTACCTGTCAAAAAATGGTTTTTTAGTTTTACACGGCACTGATTACAATTTCAGAGTCACGAGTTCTTCTTGGATCTGTTAACCGGAAAGTTCTCAATGACTCAGTACAATGTTTGATCGGTGATCGAATTCGACGTTTAGGTTGGTTTTCGTTGGCTGTTAAAGAATAGCTTTTTGTTGCTCTTTACCGGAATGAGCTCACCGACTGGAAGGAGGACCACGCCACTTAAACATCGCTGTGGAATTGGATGGACAGAACAATTTATCTTTGAATTATACTGCACTGGATTAGGTTTGAGGTATTCGTCTACACAAAAGCAGTTGAAGCTTGATCTCTCCCTATAGGCTAACTAGTTTTCCCAGTCGGAAGACTTTTATGAGAAGTTAAAAGTACTGATTTGTTTAATCAGCGAACGAGTAACGCAGTGGCAGTTATGTCGCTCATCATTAGCACAGTGGAGGTTTTTCACATCGTTCCAGGCTCACCAACCTCCCATCCCTCCGGGCTCAAGAAATCGGTCCCATACTAGTCTGGACCAAGCTCACTCTTTGCATTCTAGGTAGGGACGCTCTAGTTCAGCTATCTCAAAACTCCAGAGAGAATGAACTCGACAGGTACCCGACGACATTGATAAGGAAGACAACAATCTTGAAGCTGCAGCCGAGCCCACACGTGGAAAATTTGGAGAGTTTCGTGGATGATGTACACGAAGGAACTAATAGAATGCGAAAAGCACTAGGGAACGAGCAGTAGATGTGAAGGCGAATCGTGCAAATAAATAAATAAATAAATAGGCCACCAAAAGTCATTTTGTAAGCTAAGTATGCACTGAATCATCTCTACGGTGCTAGGAATAGATTCAAATGCATGAAGATTGTTCAAGATTGCCCTCAGAGATTCCTCAAAGACTGTTCAACATTAAACGGTTCACACTTTACTCTTTATGCTGTGTTGATGCGCCAATTGTATTCTGACTAAGCGGTGAGAGTAGTTGTGTAGTGCTTGATGTTAAAAACGCCCAATCACAATCACAGAAGCAGTACGTCGAGTGCAACAATCGGACCCATCGAAAAAATCACACAGTTCTTCACCGCTGTTAATTGGTGTTCAAACTGCACAACGAAGTCCACTCTTCTTTAAAAGGTCAGTGAAAAATTAGGTACTGCTTTTTCGTTCATTCATGAGCAAACACTAAGGGTGCATGTCGTGCAACGGTTAAAGGTGCCCTGAAAATACACACGTGGTTGTTGGTTTGACCTTACGCCCTGAGCTCACCAAGCTTTCCATCCCTTCATGGTCTACGAATTGGTTCCATACTTTTCTAAGTGAATAGCAATGCTGAGTTGATATCGATTTTTTGTTTTTCTCATACGCAGTTTTTCGCAGTCCGCTCGAATAGACAAAGTATTCAGAAGTTACGGTACCCGTTTCTATCTACAATATCTTTCTACTTCTGTTCAGCAAACACGAGGTGCTATTTTATTTCTTTATTTACGCACAAGCTGACGTTTCGGCCTATTTCGCCTTCCTCAGAGCCTGGAGGGGTCAAGTTGACAGTAATCCATTCGGCTAAACACCTCCATAACCGAGCAGAGAAAACGCTAAACCAAGATATCAATCACTTTTAGCATAGCTCTGCGCACTCACCGCTTTCTATGAGGCTTCCACTGATTATGTCGCGTGAAGACCGACCGCACCGAATTCACATGGAAGCGTAATGTGCCCCTCCCATCAGAATAACAGGCTTATATACTGTCCAATATCACGCGTGATAACGAGGCGTTCCTCTCTGCGGTTCATTTTCGGATTCTTCGAATTAATCCAGAATACCTATAGAGTTTTGCCCGCTTGTGTTCTCTAATCTTGCGCGAGGATCGTAACCCTTACTTCAAAGTCTTCTCCATTATGTTTCTGCGTGCTATGCGTGCCTAGTGGAGTACTTGGCTGACATGCGACTATAATCAGCTGTTCTAAACTTCCTCATTGGAAGTCACAAAAAAGCGGCTCTGAAGAAGGCGATACTGCCGAAACGTCAGCTAGCGTTGTATTGTGTTGTGTTTTTATGGAAGTAAATGTATGCTCCCAGGATCGACTTTCTCTTAACCTCGGCATTGGAATATGAATGTGTCGTTTTCTTGTTCAGCAATCGCGAGGTTTTTAAACAGCATACATTTACTTCCATAAAAACACAATACAATACAACGCTAGCTGACGTTTCGGCAGTATCGCCTTCTTCAGAGCCTGGAAGGGTATACTGATATACAATCTACTAGGCCAAACGCTTCAATAACACTTACACAAAGACGAAAGACTCTTTGGTAACTACACGATCAACAACTTCTCGAAAATGTATGCTGTTTAAAAACCTCGCGATTGCTGAACAAGAAAACGACACATTCATATTTCAATGCCGAGGTTAAGAGAAAGTCGATCCTGGGAACTACTTGGCTTACGTTTGCCGACTAGGTGCTCTTTTATACGTACGCAGAGTGGCCGACCCGTTTCGCCAACGTATTCGTCCCCGCACGCTTTACAAGAGATCAGATAGACTGTACCCGAACTCATGCAGTCACCGTCTCTACCATTGGGGCAAATTATGCAATTTTGCATTGCACATAGACAGTCGTATAGGCGGTTACAAACTAGCTGGCGCCTTAGATTACTCTGTGATATTTCGATTATCTCTAATCTATTTCGATTCGATTCTCTAGACTAGCCCTTCTTAAACAGCGTTTTATAGTTCCACTTACTTCATTTGAAATGAAGGGCAATATAAACGGGACACTTCTTGTCGGTAGAGTTATCGTTGGGGTACCTATGGTTTCCTCTACACCTATCTCGAGCTACGGTTTCGTAGCCATTAAAAATGGTTATTTGCCGCGCCAAGTTCCGGGATTCCTCTCTCTGTTGTCTTCCTGTGCACACGCTGGTAGCTGTTCGATACATGTTTCTCACAAGCGCCCTTTTCGTGTAAGAGGGATGAGAGGAGAGGAGATGAACTAGGATGTTTTTACTACTTGGCTTTTGATACCACTTCGCAATGTAGCCGTTTTCTGATAGGCTAATTTGCACGTTAAGAAATGGAAGCCAGTCTTCTTTTGGTTTCTCTCGGGTGAATTTAATATACTCTGACTGTGTGTTCAAGAACTCGAAACATCTGTCGATTTTTTCTTGCGTTGAACAAATGACCAAGCAGTCATCTATATATCTACAGTAGAGTAACGGACCGAGGTCGATTACTGGCGCTTCCACCTTAGACATGAATGCAATGGCAAGGCTTGGTGCCAGTCGTTGTCCCATTGCCAGCCCTCTCATTTGTGCGTAATACCTCCCGGATCATCTGAAGATTGAGCAGTTTAGGCACTCCTTTAAGAGTGTCATCAACTGCTGAACCGAGAAGCCGTATATGTTTATTGCTCTTTCGTGTTGTATAAGGAGCTCGCGGATGGCTTGCTTAGCGGAGTCGTTCGACACGTTCGTATAGAGAGCAGTGACGTCGAGGGACTCCACCACGTACGCGCTGTTGGGCTACACAGTACGTAGACGATCCAGAAACATCTGGATATTCGCACGATAGGCTGGAATGTGTTTGAATAACTGGGTAAATATTAGGATTAAAACCACGTTATCCTATCCGTTGGCCCGTCCACGCAGCTAATGATAGGTTTAACCTTAAATAACGATGGATCGGTAGACACGAGATCATCGCTGAATGCTAACTTATAGGTTTTGATAAGTAAGTGCTAAATGGGACATGTTGGTAAGTCAGTTTTGAGATGACAGATAACTGATGGTTTTAACCCAGCCGTTCTTGCCACTTTAACCCATTCGTTGTTTAACTTTCGGTATTGACTTTTAAATTCCTTCTCAGACGACGGACGATAAAGGGAAGCATCTTTAAGGTGCTCTTCCGTTATGTCAACATCTAACTGGTAGGGAATTACAACGAACTCTCCACCGTTATCACTAACCGATAGTCTTATGTTTTTCGACCTTATCAGCTCTCGTACCTCCCGCATACCACGTTTTTGTATTTCAGTGAGGTTGGACCAGTATCTTTTAGCGCGATAGTGATTAAGGACTTTGAAAGTTTCATTCGTAAACATCCAAAATTTAACATCAACTTCATTAATGGGCTCTTGTTGTCTAAAGAACGGTTGAAGAACGGTTGCGGTTAGGTACGCATAGCACGCAGAAACATAACGGAGAAGATTTTGAAGTAAGGGTTACGATCCTCGCGCAAGATCAGAGAACACAAGCGCGCAAAACTCTAGAGGCATTCTGCTGTCAAGTTAACCCTTCCAGGCTCTGAGGAAGGCGAAATCCGCCGAAAAGTCAGCTTGTGCGTAAATAAAGAAATAAAATAGCACCTCGTGTTTGCTGAACAGAAGTAGAAGGATATATTCAATCAATGCCGAAGTTAATAAAAAGTTGGACTTGGGTGTTTCTATCTAAAATGTTATTTATTCTTTTAAACTTATATGTACTGCGACTACGAGTTTGCAGTGACTTCACTTTGTAGTCTATGCAAAACAGATGCTTGTGTACGACAACAGCTCACAAAATTACTGGAAGTAAGACTACCAATAAATGGTGAATCGTAAAGACAGATTTTGGCCTATTCCTTCTACGACAAAAACCACGTATTCAGCACTCCCCAAAAATTGTCCATGTCTTAGCTACGGAGCAGAACGTTGGAAAGGTCGTTCAATGAAAAAGGTGAGCTCGGGGTTCCGAATCCACAGCGTGGGCCAATGCCTTCTCTGAGAGCCCCGAACACGCGTGTCCCGTACTCCTTATGTATAATTCCTCCCATACATCTCCATGTCGACTGAAGATTCGAAGTATATAAGCACAGGATGGTCTGTGTGATCAGAGATCCATTCATCTCGGCTGTTGGGTCAGGACGAAGAGCTTCCTAAATAGCTGGATAATTGGATACTTGGATGACCGGTCTTCACTGGTTGTGCGGGCCCCAGCACAATTTCTGTTTTTCAGAGTTTTGGTGGTCTAGCCATTGTGGTTCCCTGGCGTCTCCAAGCCAAGGTCTGCCCTAGGCTGTCACCACCGCAGTCGATACCGTTGTGGATCAGAGGAAGGTTTGCCACCATGTGACTAATTTGATACCAGGACGATGGCTATTCCTAGTATTGACTTATCTTGGCTTGC